ACAGAAAAAACTTTAGTCTCTAGCTGCCTGCTGTCAAGTATCCAGACATCCAGATGTGTCTTTACTCCTTAGTAAGGGTGGCCAGCTTGTCCTGCTTTTAAAACGGAGAGTCATAGGTCGCAGGAACTCACTGATTTCCAGGCAAGCCAGACAGTTGGTCACCCTGTCTTATTCTCTGCATGCCTGAAACAATGTCACTAGGTTGTTACTGATCATCGTTTTGGATAGAAGTAGATTTTTAAGTTATGTTAGCTTCTGTTGGAATGTACCAGAGAGTAAGTTCTTCTTTTTAAAGAAATGATAGTCTTATTTGTCTCAGTGATCCTAGGTAATGCCAGCTTCCCTCTCAGAAATAAAACATGAATTTTATTTTATTTATTTATTTATTTATTTTTTGCGGTACGCGGACCTCTCACTGTTGTGGCCTCTCCTGTTGCGGAGCACAGGCTCTGGACGCGCAGGCTCAGCGGCTGTGGCTCACGGGCCCAGCCGCTCCGCGGCACGTGGGATCCTCCCGGACCGGGGCACGAACCCGTGTCCCCTGCATCGGCAGGCGGACTCTCAACCACTGGGCCACCAGGGAAGCCCTAAAACATGAATTTTAAACTGACCGATTTAAAGGTGATTACAAGGACTTTTGTCGTTTTTCATTTGTGTCCCCATGTTAAGACCATGGGTGATAAATGTGAGACATTTAGGTAGATATTTGTGGTGAATGAGTAGCCAAATGAGGCAAATATTTATGTATATATGTCTTAAAGCCGTATACAAGTTGATTCTGTTTTAAGAGAAACCCTCAAGGCTTTTAATAAGTATTGGGCTTTGGTTTTATAATGAGGTCCTCAGAGGAACTAGGTTTGGATTTTTAAAAATTAGATCTAAAATCAAATATTAATACACAGTGTGCTTTTTTTTTTCTCATGGAAAAAGCCAGTTTTACAATTAGGCAAGTTTATGTGCTAAGGAGCTAATTTTTTGCAAACAAACATAGCATCACATATGTTAATATGCCTAGATTATTTGAAAAATATCACAAATTATTTCAGTCCATTTAAGTAATTGTTGCTTTTATTATACTTTTAGAAAATCATTAAAGAAGAAAAGCCAGGGGCTGTGATCTAATCAGCGTTGTTAATTAGTTTTCAGAATTGGCTCCATTAGGACTAGCTTTGTAACTTTAGGCAAATAACTTGGTCTTAATTTGCTTTTGTCCTTAGGTGTAAGACAGGAATATTAATACCTATCCATCTTCCTCATAGGATTGGCATGATGCTGATGAGGTAATAGGTGGGAAAGAACTTTAAAAACTTAAAAGTACTATAAGGTGGAGTTTTATTTATTTATAAATTTATTTATTTTATTTATTTTTGGCTGTATTGGGTCTTCATTGCTGCGCGCAGGCTTTCTCTAGTTGCCGCAAGCCGGGGCTACTCTTCATTGTGCGTGGGCTTCTCATTGCGGTGGCTTCTGTTGTTGCGGAGCACTGGCTCTAGGCGTGCAGGCTTCAGTAGTTGTGGTGCATGGGCTCAGTAGTTGTGGCTCACGGGCTCTAGAGAGCAGGCTCAGTAGTTGGGGCACACGGGCTTAGTTGCTCTGTGTGGGTAGAGTTTTAGTATCAGAAATAGTATTTCCTGAACAACGTATATAGAAAATTCCTTTTACAGTGGTGGTATGACATTTTCTTAGAGTAAGAACAGCAAGAAATGGTATCTTAATAGTTTTAAATATCTCAGCAAGTAACTGTGAAGAAAGTATTATTGAACTTTTATGTTCAAGTTATGCTCTACTAAATATGTATATTTATAGATAATACTTTATATACTTTATAAACATTTCAACTAATATTTTAGTATTGAGGAATTATAAGTGGCACATACTTAGGCATTACCTTCTTTGGTCAGGGTTGGTGAATATTGGAAGACCTAAAAAAGTTCATTATCTTTAACAACTACATTATTATTGCATTGTAGCAGATGTGTTTTGTGGCTTTAATTTGTTTGTTTTGGTTCTTAGGTATTTTGCATCCTCATTTTCATTTCAATCTAGATATTAAAAGTTTATGCCAATTTGAGTTAGAACAAATTTATTATAAGATAACTGCTTACAATTAAATTAGCTTCGTAATCTTGTGACACTGCTAAGCAGCCAGGGTTGTGTGAAGGGGAAAGTGTAGGGTTTTTTGTCAGTTTGAGTTTGAGTTATGACTCCTCTACTTACTGGGTGTTTAATTACTTTGACCTTAAGTTTATTCATTTGTAAAATAGTCATCATAGTATTTTCTTCCAAAGTTTGTGAATATTAAATTAAGATTAAATATAAAATGTGTCTGCCTCAGTGACTAGTATGTATTAGATGTTGAAATAAAGTTCTTCACCAGCCTACTTCTCCAGACACATGCTAAGCCTCTTTGTTTCCTCTTTGTCCCATGGGATATCTTGAGGGGGAAGGAGATAGAAAATCAGTGTACTCTTGCTTTTCTTGAAACCCTGTATCTGTCTGAGATAGTATTTGTAGATTATGGTTACTTAGAAATGTGTTAACATCTTATAATATTGTTCAAGGGCAGGAGTAAATGAATAGGAACATTTAAAGTTAATTGTTAATATAGTGAATACATTAGTTATGAAGTCTTTAGCTTCCTGTAGTCTAGGGAGTCAGTCTTTCTTGATCCATACCGCCCAGGTTTAGAGGGGCTGTTAGCATGGAGTAGGATGAAGAACTGCCCTGTTGTGTAAGAGTCATAAAGCCTATGTAAATCAGAATTCAACTTGGAGTTCTTTAGTTGGTTCTACTTTTACTGTTTTGTGGGTTATTTTATTTTATTTTTTTTTGGCCGCGCGGCTTGCAGGATCTCAGTTCCCCAACCAGGGATTGAACCCCGCCCATGGCAGTGAAAGCCCTGAATGCTAAGCACTAGGCCACCAGGGAACTCCCTGTAGTTGGTTCTGCTTAAAATGTATAGTTTGCTTTCATAGGAGGAAAGAATCTAGTTGCCCTAGGTAGTTAACGTCTTTTGAGAACAGTTATTGCTCAAGAGGGAAAGGGGGACGGATAGAGTGGTTCCTAGTAAATCATTGATTTTCTTACTCTTGTGCTTTGATGTAGAAAGAAGAAGAAAGGAAATTATCAGCTACTGTGTATGAAGGGTATTTTGCTTGGTACAAGTATGTTTTCATTTAATCCTCATAGTATAGCTGTGAGGTAGCTTGGTGGAATCCTCATTTTACAGAGGAGGAAATTGGGACTCAGAGAGGCTAACTTTCACGAGGTTACATAGTAACAGGTAGCAGAGCTTGGATTTATTATTATTTTTGCTGTTTGTGTGAGGCGGTACTGTTTCTGCTCTATTCATATTGTCTTACATCTGAAATGTAAAAAGAATGTTAGACATTTACATTTAAGTGTAAAACCTATACATTTTAAATAGGACCAACTGCAGTTTTTAAGATAACCTAGATTTGAACCCAGATTAATTTGGTTCCAGAATTGGTGCTGGCCCTTGGGAAATAGATCCGTCTTGTTGATCTTGCAGACTGATGGAAAAGATTGACATGTCAGCTCATATATAGTGCTCTGTTAAAAGTTAGATGGGGAAAGGGTAAGCTGCGACAAAGCGAGAGAGAGGCATGGACATATATACACTACCAAACGTAAAAGAGATAGCTAGTGGGAAGCAGCCGCATAGCACAGGGAGATCAGCTTGGTGCTTTGTGACAGCCTGGAGGGGTGGGATAGGGAGGGTGGGAGGGAGGGAGACGCAAGAGGGAAGAGATATGGGAACATATGTATATGTATAACTGATTCACTTTGTTATAGAGCAGAAACTAACACACCATTGTAAAGCAATTATACTCCAATAAAGATAAAAAAAAAAAAGTTAGGGCTTCCCTGGTGGCGCAGTGGTTGAGAATCTGCCTGCTAATGCAGGAGACACGGGTTCGAGCCCTGGTCTGGGAGGATCCCACAGGCCGTGGAGCAACTAGTCCCGTGAGCCACAACTACTGAGCCTGCGCGTCTGGAGCTTGTGCTCCGCACCAAGAGAGGCCTCAATAGTGAGAGGCCTGCACATCGCTATGAAGAGTGGCCCCCGCTTGCCACAGCTAGAGAAAGCCCACGCACAGAAATGAAGACCCAATGCAGCCAAAAATTAATTAATTAATTTAAAAAAAGTTAGATGAGATTACAGAGGAGAGAATGACAATGCTGGGGGAGGTTTTCCAGAGGCTTTTGGTGAGTCAGATTGTGAAGGATAAGTGAGACCGTGCCTGGTGGAGAATGGCAAGCCATTGGGATTGTAACTGGTGGCACAGCTTGTACAAAGGCACACGTAGAGAGTGAGAGGGTGTGGCATTTTGGAGCTAAAACCAGGCTTTCAGTTTAGGATTTTTCTCTATAGGGAATTAATAGATATTTCAAAGCAGAGAGGAATGGAAAGATGGAATAATAATAGTAATAATAGTCTTGAGGACCATTCTGAAGGAGATTCTAGAGGAGGTTGGTATTGCAGAGAACTCTAGGGTGGTCTTTTTTTCCTTTTAAAATCACCCAGATAATGAAGAGCTCTCTATCCACATGTAGTTGCTTAGTCTAAGTGACATTAATTAGTTAACATAATTATTCCATATTTAAGAAACATCTTTTGGTTTATCTCCCGTTAAGAGCCACCTATTCAACTTTCATATAAAACTTGTTCTGAAGGTATGTCTAGATATTTAGCTTGAACATTCCAGATAATTAGATATAGTGAAAAAGTAACATTGTTTGGATGAGTAGGAATACTATTCAAATGATGTTGCAATAAAGGTTTGTTGTTTGTGGGGTTTTTTCTTTTTTTAGCAGTTCTTATTTATTTTTTTATTACATAGCAATACATGTTTATTATAGAAAATTTAAGAAACAAAATAATGAAAGAAAACAAAGATTACCTCTAGTTAAGAAGCAAAGATAAACTATTTGGGGGGTGTATACTCTTCCAGTCACTAAACAATGTTTCAATGTTCATTCACATTCCAGAGTTCAATGACTCTGTTTAATACTGCTCTATATGAAGGAAAATGGTTTTCTGTCTTTACATATTTTTGCGACTGAATTACCATGGCACAGCTGAGAGTTTGGTTAATTTATTATTACAGTACATTCTGATTTTCATTTAATATCTAAAGTAACTGCTTCAACTGATTAAAATTTTAGCCTATTTGATTAAATACTAACAGAGTTTAATTTAAGTTGCTATTACTCTTTTCTTACCACCAGTTAGACATTCTTCAGAGTGCTAAAGCAAAAAGGAACCTTAAAAAATTACGTGGTTCACCTTCTTAGTTTACAAATGCGGGTACTTTTCTTCCATGCTTTTGTTTCCAGTGACTTTTAGTTTAGACTTTGTTTTGTTAAGCTCTCACTTGATTGCAGTCCTCTCTCTTTCTGGTCAGACTGTTTTTCCATCTCTCAGCCAATGGTACAAAGAAAAGGGAAACTGAAGAGAGGAGATAGCATATGCCCGAGAGGTAGAAGGAGCCGGTGTATGTCTGGGTATAATCATATAACCAGCCTATACGGAAGGAAGGATTTCTGTTAGTGATGCAAACCTTTCCGTTAGTAGTTCCCAGCCATGAACCGTTCCTTGAAGGAAGGAGCCTCCTGTACTTACTAGTCTGTATTGTGACCCATTAGAAAGTTAGTCAAGCTGCTTACCTGTCTTATTTTCTATTGATGAAGTTAAATCAATTCCATCTGAGTTAGGGGTTTAAACGTTGGGTTAAAAGTAATCGTGAACCCAGAGCCCATCTCCAGTCTTGTAATGGAAGTTGGAGAAAATTAGGAACACGTACCATTTCATTTTACAGTGAATTTTATTAGAAGACCACCATTCTTATGAAGAAAAGTATTGTGAATTACTATTTTCCAAAGAAAAAAGTGAGAACTGATTATTATCTTTTTTTCCTTCACTGAACAGACATTTGAATTCTTACTGTGTTCCCAGCAACGTGCTGGGTGTTGAGGATATGATAATGAGCCAAAACAGACATGGTCCCTGCCCTCATAGACCATATAGTTTAGTGGGGATTTGGTATTAACCGCATAAATTACACCTGCGATAAAGGCTGTGAGGGGATGGATGGTTCAGGAGGTTATGAGAACAAATGAAAAGGAACTGACTTACGTGGCCAAGTGGGTTAAACAATGACGATAATTCCCCCTGAAATCTCAAAGTGCTCTTTTAAAAGCAAGAATTGGGAGGGTCCTCAAAATCATTTGGCTAATGGCACATACTAGAACTTCTTAGGTGAAACGCTTTTTTTAAAAAAAAGTGTGAGTTTGTGGTGGCAAAGAATATTTGTGCAAGGCACCAATGTTTATACGTTATTGCAAAAGTCAACCCTGTGAAAAAGGCAAATAATGTCTCAGTATTATTATGAAAATAGTTTTGACCTCAGGCTCCCTAAAAAGGGCTCAGGACCTCTCGGGGAGTCACAGTCTTTTCTAGATTATTGTATGCATATTATGTTTGTAGATGCAAACTTACAATATGACTTTTATAAGTTTTTATATTTAAAATCTTGAAAAACCTTAAGTCAAGGATGTTATTCTGATCATTTATTCAAAAAATTTTGGTACTCTATGCCAGCACAGTTCTGGTTACTAGGGATAAACCCATGGACAAAAATTGATGAAAATATCTGTCTGCATGGAGCTTACATTGTATCTTTTGATTTTCACTTATGTCTTGGAACATGATTTCTCACTGGATGTGTAGAGTATACCCTTTTTTTTTTTTTTTTGTCTGATTGTGTGTCTCTATCTCCTCTCCTTTTTATTCTCTCACTTGGCTGTGATAGAGACTTTCAATTTTTGTTTGTTTGCTTCATTAGCTTTTTGTTTTCTTTTCTTAATGTAATGAATGAATGGAATGTTTTATTTAAATTCAGCTAACTTTAACTTGCTTTTACTGTTTGATCAGTGACCTCAATTAAATGTTTCTTGGAGTTAAGCAAAATAGTGAAACCGACTGGGACAAGTCTTTGTATTATGTTGATTGACCTTTAGATATCTAAGAAACGGTTGACCAATCTGTCAGTTTTTCTAGAAATTTCTATGAAGGAGGAAGTGTGGAAAGCAGCAGCACCCCCTCTTATCCTTTGTCATTCTTGCCTTCGTCCCTTAGTATAGCAATTTACCAGTTTATATATAACCTGTGAATTGTAAGACAGGGGTATTTGAAGTAACACTCTAGGAAAAGACTACAAATTCTTGGAGAGGGAGGTAGATAGTGCTGCTGAAAGGTCAGGAGGGTAAAGCTAAAAATAGTGAAACTGAGTTGTTTTATAAATCCTGGAGGGACTAAAACAGTTTAAGAGAAAACTGCTTATAAGCCTTTCATTTCACATACATTTAAAGTCAGAATGTTGTTTCTGAAATGTGAAAGATTAAGATATATTTAGTGTATTTTCTTACCAGGGCAGGGAATTACTTAGCATGCTTTAGAACTGTTTCCATGTATTTCCATGCAAAGTTTTTATTTATTTATTTATGTATGCATGTATGTATGTATGTATGTATGTCGTGTCGCACAGCTTGCAGAATCTTAGTTCCCCAACCAGGGATTGTACCTGGGCCCCTGGCAGTGAGAGCGCTGAGTCCTAACCACTGGACTGCCAGGGAATAACCAATGCAAAGTTTAATGAAATAATTTGTTTTAAATCTGTTTCTCCCATTCATGCTTGATTATTGAGAGATTAGTATATTTTAAAATTCTGTCTCTAAGATCTAATTGCCATTCCATACGATAATAATGTGCAGTTGAGTATTTAGTTTTAAGATGTTATTTATAATAGCAAATATGAGGTGAAATGTAAGATGCAGGACTATAGTGTACTATTATTAATTAATTGTCCTATGAAAATATTAGCTTCATAATCAAGCTTAAATTTAAGTGGCTACTAGGTAAGTTAAATTCATAGCTTTGCTGCTTTAACCAAACATCTCTGTTTGGTTGGAATAATTAGCCTTTCCCCACCATTGAAAGTAAAATAAGACTGTATAGGGAATTGGCTGGCAGTCCTGTGGTTAGGACTCCTCACTTCCACTGCACGGAACGCGGGTTCGATCCCTGGTCAGGGAGCTAAGATCCTACACGCCACGTGGTGCAGCCAAAAAAAAAAAAAGAAGACTGTATATTTGATCTGATTTTATTAGGTCTTTGTACTTTTTTTTATAATAGCACGAAATAGATGTATACAAATGCACTTTCAACCCTAAACAGTTTCAGGGTTATTGTTGGTAGTTCAGAAACCACTGCATTCTAATCATTTTCAAATGGAAATACACGCATAAGTTGACATTCAAAAGACTGGGTTTCTTTGTGGTCATAGCAAAAGCATTGTGAGTGGCAGAGAATACTAGCCACAGTCCAGGAAAGCGTGCAATGGATCTGAGCCTCCACTCCATGCTAAGGAATACTGTATGTAGCCAGCATTCTGAGGAGTACGCTGCCTACTGGTGCAGACTTCCTAAGCTGAAGTCCCCTCTAAGCATTTCCTTGGTGTCTCCAGACTACCTGCATCAGATTCACTTAAGATGCATGTTAATTGTGAAAATTCATTGGCTTCCTAAGCGTACTTCCTCCTAGGTGGCACCCAGTTGATTCTTACATACAATAAAGTTGTTGTCCAAATTACTTCTTTATAGCTGTAACCCTTGTTCTGGGTAGGAATATCTAATAATGTTTCCTGTGATAATTTAAAACAACTAAGAAGATAGGCCTCAGCTTCCTTAAACAGTTTTGCAAACCAGTTTTCTTACAGTCAACAAAAAAGGGATTGGAATAATCTTTTAAGTTTGATGTTTAATATAGAATCTAAATTCATTTTTTTAAATGTCAACATTTTAAAAACGATACTCTATATCATTTTATGGGTTAAGCCATACACGTTTAAAAATGAGTTTAACATCTTGTCTAAAAAATATTCATATCTGATATCTCAGAAGTTGATTTTTAGCTGATTTATGAATCCTTTTCAATAGGATTACTACTGTAAGTTTATTATTGGTCATCTTGTTAAGATTTGAAATACCCCTAGAAGGCCGTTAATTCCAAAGTTCCTTGATGGTAGTTCAAATTAGTTGTTGAGGATTCTGTAAGTGACTGGCCGGTGTTGAACCAGAGCTTCTAGCTGTTAGGCTGTAGAATAGTGGCAGACTTCCAAGGTGTGCAGAGACAATGAACTTCTCACATTCTTGGGGTCACTGGAGCTGCCCACTGGCTGTTAGCAGCCTTGTCATTTTACTTAGGGTGTGCTGTACAAATATTTCCTGTATGTACCATGAAGGGAAAAATCTTGGGAAACATGGTTTAGCAAATATAAACCTCAGTGCCTTTTAAGACAGGAGCTCTCTAAAGGCCTCATGATAGAAATTTGCCATAAGATTTACTGGTAGTGCTATAAGTATTGGCTCTGTGTTGTAAGTTTTATTAAGAGGATTGTGGTCTGTGTTAGGATTTTGAAACTTGATTCCTTGGCCTTGCAAGGAAAGGACTACCTCCCCCTTCTCCTTTTTAAACCACAATAGAGAGCTATTTGGAATTTATTTTTGATGCTTTTGTAGGGATTCATTAATCCTAGGAATGCTGTATCAAAGTAAAATTCTGTAGGTTTTGTTGCTTATGGGGAAAATAACCACTGGATAAAGAAATGATTTACATTGTTTCCTTTTGCCTCTTCAGGGTATAATATATTTCTCAGGATTTAAAGGACAGAGAACTTTGTTCTGCCTTCTTACTTGTCCCCCGTATCCCCAATCTCCAAAATGGATTTATAGCAGACCAAAAGGTTGAGTTGCTTGTGTGTTTGTTTTCCAAATAAAATTTCAGGCCGTAGAGAAATTCTCAACTGATAGGCCAAGATGACTGATAAAACTCTAGAGGGCATGGTTGATAAAAGGTGGAGTGAGGACTGGGTGGAATATCTGTTTAACATTGTATCTGAAATGAGGATGTAATAGAGATAGGAAATGACCTGTCATTTCATGAGGAGATGAACTTGTCTGTGTTCATGGGACAGAGAGACAAGCTTAGATGGATGAATTTCCATTTTAGCCATTGTCTTTTCTTGTAAAAACGCAGATAAAGAGTTAATGCAGGACTTCCCTGGTGGCGCAGTGGTTAAGAATCCGCCTGCCAATGCAGGGGACACGGGTTCGAGCCCTGGTCCTGGAAGATCCCTCATGCCGCGGAGCAACTAAGCCCATGCGCCGCAACTACTGTGCCCGCATGCCACAACTACTGAAGCCCGCGTGCCCAGAGCCCATGCTCCGCAATAAGAGAATGAGAAACCCACGCACTGCAACTAAGAGTAGCCCCTGCTTGCTGCAACTAGAGAAAGCCCATGTGCAGCAATGAAGACCCCACTCAGCCAAAAATAAATAAAACTACATAAATAAATTTATAAAAAAGAAAAAAACTCGGAAAAAGTTAATGCAAAATTACCAGTTTTGCCCCATGGTGTTTCTGATGAATTGTGAGGTTGAATAATAATAGCAAGAGGGCTTCCCTGGTGGCGCAGTGGTTGAGAGTCTGCCTGCCGATGCAGGGGACGTGGGTTCATGCCCCGGTCTGGGAAGATCCTACATGCCGCAGAGCGGCTGGGCCCGTGAGCCATGGCCGCTGAGCCTGCGCGTCCAGAGCCTGTGCTCCGCAACGGGAGAGGCCACAACAGTGAGAGGCCCACGTACCGAAAAAAAAAAAAAAAAAAAAAAAATAGCAAGAGAGAGATGTACTTCTTCTTTAGGAACTAGTTACCTTTAGCTTATTCTGGAGTACAATCAACTTATAATTATTTGGCATTAGAAACAACTCTCCTTGAATTTATTGAAAAAAATTATTTTTGTGAAATATCTGCTTGATTGAGTGAAGCTTTACTATATTTTAAGGTCATTTTTATTATACCAAAGCTTAGGGTGCCTTCATTTAAAGGTAAGAAAATGGAGACATGGGTTACAGTGGCTCAACCGAATTTTCAATTAATGAAGTGGAAGAAGAATGCAGGTTCTAACAATTCTCAGTTTTAGACATTTTAGACTAAGTCCTAATGTTAAGCAGTGTATGTGGCTGACAGAGTGAATGCTATACCATGATCCAATAAGGTATGAAAGAACATTGAACAAATAATTTTGTCTTCTCTTTGTCCATGTGGCAGCTAGTAGAGTTCTGTGCTAATAAGTTGCTTAATAATTATTGAATGAATACTGAGTTACAATCAAATAATTATTTGTGAACCAAACAAAAACAAAATAAATGAACAAACCAAACCAAACAGACATGTAGATACAGAGAATAGGGTAGTTGTTATCAGAGGGGAAGGGGCAGGAGGGAGGGCTAAATGGATAAGGGAAATCACCTGTATGGATGGAAAATAAATTTTTGGTGGTGAAAACAAAAACAAAATTATTTATGGCATTTTAAGGGAGTTTTCAGAGATTTGTGATTTAAATTTTTTATATTAAAATAAATATTAGCATAATATATGCACTCATCAGTTGGGAAAGGGGGGTGTATGTGGAAGAGAGAGGAACTACATTCGGTGGTTTTGTTTTATAGGCAGCTGATATGGGCTGTTGGTGGTTTTATTTTTATTTGTTTATTTATTTGTTTGTTTGTTTGCAGTACGTGGGCCTCTCACTGTTGTGGCCCCTCCCGTTGCGGAGCACAGGCTCCAGACGTGCAGGCTCAGCGGCCGTGGCTCACGGGCCCAGCCGCTCCGCGGCATGTGGGATCTTCCCGGACCGGGGCACGAACCCGTGTCCCCTGCATCGGCAGGCGGACTCTCAACCACTGTGCCACCAGGGAAGCCCAAGTGGTTTTATTTTTAAATGAAACTGAACAGCCCTTAGCATTTTGAGCTCATATGTCAAATAGCTCAGGTACAGGACTAGGAATTTAACATAAGTAACTTATAGCTGTCTTGTACATGGGAGAATACGACTGTATACTTGTTTTTTTTGCCGAAGGCACTATTTTTGTATTTAGATTGCTTTCTGCAGGTGTACTTTTGTTAACAGGGGTCTATTAGAAATGTATATTAAGTTTTAAAAATATTAATACTTTTTATTTTTCCACAACCTTCCAAGGCTTCCATCTTGGTGTCAGTGTATAGTTCTGGATGCCATCTACCAGCAAAAAACAGCATTTGGGTTTGGATGAACAGTGACATTTGGTCTACCCTTGGGTCTACTGACCACCTAGGTCAGGAAACTAGAAAAACCCTGAAACTGGTCCAGTCTGAAGCAGGCCATATTATTAACTAAAATTGAATTTGTTGCTGAGTATTGGCAGGAATAGGGAGAGCTGTGGGGTGGAGCGGGCAGGGTGGTCACTTGTGGGGAGTGGCGGGGGATAATTTTTAAACTATTATTTATTTCAATGCCTGTCAATTTTAACCAAGATCTGATGGAGAATTTTGTTGCCACTGTATTTCTTATCATAATCACCATTACAAAAGATGTATAAATAATTTTCTTGCCCATATGCTCTATTTACGTTTTTTTAAAGAAAAAAGTAACTTTAAAAAATCTCGGTTATATGATTCCTTGGGTTTCCTATGCTTTATATTCCCCTTTCCTTGAATTTTTAAAATATGCTGTATAGAACTAACTTGTTTTTCTTCTTTATTTCCATACAGGAAGGAGAAAATTATTATTCATGTACCATTTTTAACTAGTCTTTTGACTGAGGATTATTGTGAAACACTTTACTGTTTGCTAGATTCCTTATTTTAAATGCCTGTAATCTTTTATAGGAATTTCACCTTTTGTAATTTGGTAATAACAAGTCTAGGTAAGTAAAAAATGAGGATCTCATACAGTTCGGAAGATCCAAGTTTGGTTTAGAATTTAATATTTTATAACCAGTAAGCCTTTTGATTTAGTTAAAGCTAAAGACAGTAACGTAACTTGCCTGTACCAGTTGAGGGTTGAGTGGATCTGTAGCTCAGTATTTCTGATGTTCTTTAGTAGTTGCTGCTGGAGTCACAAGTTAGGAACAAATCTAATGGCCTTTGTAAAACCCTCTTGTCACTTCACAGAGCAAGGACCTACAGCAAGGGCTCTCCCGAAGTCTCCCTTCAGCAAGAGGCCTAGCACTACATTGTAGTCAATGAGAAACCATGGTACAGAGCAGGAAACTTAACTGAATTATATATTATTATCATAATCTTGTTTAAGATACTCTGAGCAACTCCCAGACTAAAAACCTGTACTTAAGCTTTCAGCAATAGCCTTACCACTTCCTTTGACTTTTTTGTAAAACTTAAAAAATTTATGATTGCCTAAATAACATTTTCAGAGTTAGCAGGTAAAAATTCTACCATGAGCTCTGTCTTTATTCTCACATACAGTGCTAGGGTATCATGGATATTGGGTAATAAAAGGCTTGTAACTTTTTTTTTTTTGACTCACTAATAGTAAGAAATGTGTTTTACATCACATATGTTTTCTGTTACATAGGTGTGTGTGCGTGTGAAATAAGTTTCACAATAAAGTGATGCACTCTGATTTCTAATCTGCTCGTGGTCCTTTTTTATTAAAAAAAAAAAATTTTAAAGATCATGACCAACAAATTGGTTTCAAGACTCACACATACATCTATAGCTTTTTCCTTTTAAGTAATACTCCTCACAAAACTTGCTTTGTCTTCTCATACATTGAACTCTTTAAATATTTTTAAATGTATACAAAAACATTTATCTCTAAACATGTTGTAGTTTTGTTATTTGCCTTCATCATTTGAATAAGATATTCTGTGCCCTGGTATTTGTTACTTCCCTACACTTTTGGCCTAATAGGCTTGAAAAGTTCCAAGGCATCATTAGGACAGCCAGTGAAGAAGGGTCAAAATTGAAAAAAATTCATCAGCAAACTGTATTTGAACTCTGTATTTCACTGACCTGGATACTAGCCATAGAGTAGCTCTGCTAGCCACCTCTGGTGCTTGGTCTTTTACCACTCCCTGTATAACAGTTCTGGGCTATAAAATTCTAGCCTGTTTTCCAGTTACGAAGTATTGGCTGAGTTAGAGCTCATGGGAAGAGGTGTGTTCATAAATGCAAATAAGGACTTAGTTGTGTATTTGTGTAATTTTTTCCTTTAGATAGGTATACCTAAATTGAAACTCAGATAGTGGTACATTGTTTTACCTTCAGTAATAATGTCTTTTATTAAGTTTTTATACTTTTGATATTTGCCTTTAAGTCTTAAGTTCATAGAGGTGTAAATCTAATGTCATTATAAAACTTAGTTTAAAAAAATGATAGTGGGACAAGATCAGACCCTTTTTCTGTCTTCAGGACTGAGGGAAGCAGAAGTAAGTTTTAGGCTGAATTCCTTTTTGTGGATGATTGGAAATGCTGTACTAATTTGTAATTCAACTATATTGAGAACCTATAGTGTAAGATACTAAAGCTTAAGTCTGTTTCCTAAAGAAATTTGTGTGAGTAGGCAGTCTTTTAATAGTCTTAGATTAAATGTTCAGCAAGGACAAAATGTCCCAATAGGTAAAAAGTGAATGTAAAACAATGCTTCAGTCTTAAAGTTGACTTAAAAACAGAACTCCCCCAAGTTTTACTCTACTTGTATTTAATGTTCTCCAGTGGCCCCACATATCCTCTCCACAGATTCTGGCCTTAATCCAAGACAGCTTTTGTTTGTTTTTGTTTTTAACCATCATAGGTCTTTGGGCATCTGATAAAACTCTGGATTGTCTCCCCAGAGAAGTAGATATACACACAATCCCTGCTCTAAGACTCCCAAGAGAATGTAAGAATCTGCCTAGTGCACATCTGTTGAATTAACCCTGAGATTCTCCTGGGTTAGTGATGGAGTTGTGAGCGTTGGTATAGGAACAGCAGAGATAATCATCAGTTTCTTTTAACCTGATAACGTCATTACGTGTTACCATTAATCATGGATCAGCATTTTGTTTCATTGCTTTTCAAGTTTACTCAGAATGTGGGTAAGCTGTTACCTGCTAAAGGTGGTCCAGAAAGGACAGCCATCCCAGCAAAGAAACTGGCAAGCCCCAAGAACCTGTGTACCATAGAATTCCCAGACAGATCAACCTGCAGGGATTAGAATCCAATGTTAGCCATATTGAGGGTGAAATTCTGTGGAGACCTTTGCCTACAGAGGGGCAAATACTGTGTATGTCATCTGAAACTGTGAGCAGTTGACTTCTGAGGTGATTTGGATGGCATTTTACCCTGATATTATGAAAGAGCTGAGGCAGATAAGGAATAGTAATTTCAGTAGGCAGACAGTGTTTTCATTTTATTAGTAAGGAACGTTGGTTTTTGTTTCTTTTTAAAAATCTTTTAATTGGTTCAGGGATACTTTTTTCCCCTGAACCTCACTGCTCTTCTCTGTTAGGAAATGGTATTTACAGTTGGAGCTGACAGTGGTATTATTGAATCCACCTATGGCTGAATACCAACCATTGGTTTATAAGAAATCAGATATCACAGGAGTTGATTTCAGCTTTAGAAAGTTTGATTTTTGCTTAAGCCTCATATAAGATCCTGCAGCACTTATGCTAATATTGATATCAGGTCAGAAGATTCCAGGGGATTCTGTTGCAGCACACTGGGTACCTAGTTCTAAGAACCCATGGGGTTCCAAGAAAAACCCAGAAGTATTTGTATAACTCAGTTCCATTCAGGTCTAGGACTTTATGTCAATTTGGGGTAAAGATGGAGAGGAGTTAAAAACACAATGTCCTTATTAAAGTATACAGAACTTCTCTCTACAAAAGAGAAGCCAGTGCTGGTCAGGAAGCCCTTTTTTCTTTTAAGGAACTCTTCCAAGATGTGTCTTAGAACCAAAGAAATGTCTGGACCTGAAGGAAAGAAGTGAACAGAAGTCTAACCTGGGAGACTGATAAGCAAAATGGAATCCTTCTGATCCCTATTTTGCTCTTCTTTCCTGTCCCACGTCCCACGGGGGGATAGTCCTCTCACCCCCCCCCCCGGCCCCACCCCCCCAAGGTGAGATGAATAGCTGGATAAGATATAGCTACAAGGTTTCTGAGTATGTTTTTAATTATAAAATTAATACAAAATATGTTTTCTCTTTTGGGGAGGTGATTGTTAACACTTTTACTAAATGGTGTAAGAACATTAATGAGTACGTCTACTCACCAGTACAGGAAGTATCAATGCCAGGTAACCACCGGAGAAAATGGCAAAGAAGATGGTATAGGTCATAAGTAGTGGAAATGTGGTGGCAAAAGGAGCAAGCAGGTTAGTGATGCCGCAGAGGATGAGGTAAGACTTGTGGTAATGATACTTCTTGATCCAGTTTTGATCAGCAACCCATCCGGAGATAATCTGACTGACTGTCTCAATGATACCTGGAACAATATTGAAAAGGTCTTATGAAATCCTAATTCCATTTTCCTAGCCCCTTTGAAAACTGTAAATGCATAAGGCATCTTTTCCTAAGTAATATGACTTCATCCTGAGGCTGGGACATAAGAGAAAAAAAAAGGTTCCATTTGTCTATCAATAGATTCTGTCATTTACTTACCTATTCCAGACACATCAATAAAATACCAGAAAGACTCCTTCAGAGTTGGGTAGAGGACTCACCAGGTATTTTTTCTCACTGTGTTTGGGAAACTCATACCACCAAACTGGGAATACCAGGTTATAGAGAACGCTGGGCTCAGTAGGCCTCCCTTGAAGTGGTGAGGAAGTGAGATTTCTTGAAGATTAGTAAACCCACAGGTTAGTGTCCTGGGGAAGTCATATGGTGGACGACTGGAGTATAAATAATAAAGTCTTATGGTGAAGAAAAAAAACAGATGTTGAGACTTATAATTGTATGAGGTTTTGGTAATTAAGTCCTTCTCCAAAGGCTATTATGTTTAACTTGAAAATATGTAGAAAGTCTGGAAATGGGACATCATCTCTTGAACACTGGAACTATGGTGTAACTTGAATAAAATTTAAGAATAACATTTTTCACTTAGTTTTATGATAACAGAACATTCTTATCCTTTATCCTATTATATGTTAATACAGCAGTTAAATACTGAAAGAGATTTTCACCAAGAGGAGCATGAGCTGCAGTTGTTTTATACTTAAAATTCTCCTATGGTTCAAACATAAATTGCTCCACAAAAAGGAATTAAAAATTCATACTGCCATCTCTATATTTTTACAGTTATTTCTAGGATACATATTGAAACTTTATTATGTTCTTTGGTCCTGCTGTAAAGCCCTAATCTGATCTAAATTGATACTACCAGACACTTTAGTGGAAAAAAAGTCAGTTTAGCTATGTATCTTTTTCTTGTGTACACAAGTTTTATTTGACTGAAGCAGTTGGAAATGGGGTGCAGTCAGTTTTGCAAGGGCTTGGTAAATAGGCTTTTCCAGAAATTAGCAAGAGAAAAGTTAATGTTGAGCTACTGAGAATTTCCAGATAGAGCAAACCAGTTCCATTTCATTCATTTTCATTTTTTTAGACTCCCTATTTTGTCAGTTGAAAGAATCCATATCTTCTAGATCAAGCATTCTGTTTCCATACATTTTTATAAGTACTCAACTAAAATGATTTTTTTTTTCATTCTAAATGTCAGCCTACCCATTAATGACTAGCCTTAGTATGCTTGTTTATCTTATCCTCTTACTTTGAGTTAAAGGGGGAAAAATTCTTAGCTACGAATACTACTAGAACATTATTGAATGCTTACAGTAGTTCATGTACTATTCTGAACTCTACATGCATTACTTGCTTAATCCTAATAACCTTCTGAGAGTAGATGCTATTATTCATATATTACAAGGAAATTGAGACACAGAGAAGGCAAGTATCTTGCCCAAGGTCACACTGTCATACACTGCAAAAACTTGAACCTGGAAAGTCTAGCTCCAGAACCAATCCTTTCAACCACTGCACTGTACAGCCTACCTAGGATTGTTTTTGCTTGCTAAAATGGCTGTTGTCACTGAGAACCAGCTTTCTAAAGTTCGGTATCCAACAAATACTTAGATACTGACATATGAAAATAAGACTTGCTTTGGGGTCCGCTGTCTGGTAGGGAAGAGCCTGTGTGCAAGATGCAGTGACAGGTTGGAGGGAAAGTCCTGCTGCTCCCACCAGCCTCAAAAAACTTGCTTTTCTGGCCTTCCCACAACTCTTTTTTAAAAAAAAAATATTCTTAAGCTTTTTAAAAATTAAATTTAATAAATTTTTGTGAAATTAAGTTCATTTCTCCTTTTGAGGGTGAGGTTGAAGTAGACTTTCTTACCAGCTACAGAAACGAGGTAGGAGGCGTCCATGATATTAATCCCCAGTGTTTTGGCTCTGGCTACCAGGTGAAAGGTAGGGATGAAATATGCCAACTGACTGAGGAGAAAAGACCACGTAAATATGTAGAAAAAAGGATTCTTAAGAAGAGAAAAATCAAAGAGTTTTTGTTTGCAGCTCCACAAAATAGTCTTATTCCCATAACTTTCTTCATTAGTTTTTTGGAAGAGTCTGTTCCTGTTAGGTTCATTGTTGAACTCTTCATTTTGATTTTGTGAGACTGTTAAACTTATACCAGGTTGTCCATCCTGCATAGTATTGTCCCTGATGGCAGACTCTTGTATCTCATTGCGGCATGATGTTTCTGTCCCACATGCTGCCTCTGGACCACTTGCAGAAAAACTGCTACTTTTATCTTTAATATCGGAATTGCTCTCGCTTTTGATATGGGTGGGTCTCAAGAGCATACTAGAAGGCACCAAATGCAATGTGATTGCTCCAAATAATATAAGGGCACCTAAACAGGAGAGAGAAATTGAGAAGTTAAGCTAAAAATTACCTCTCTCATTTCACAATACTCTGTATGCTTAGGCTCAGAAGAGGCCCCACCACTAAATATTCAGTCATAGTGCAGTAATTCCTGAAAACACTGCTTTGTCCTTGTATTTAGCTGAAAGCATTTAAATCCATTGACTTAACTGTTAGCCGTACACACTGCTGTATCCTTGTGAAAACGGAGTCCTTGCAGATAGAAAAGGGGAAAGCTGTGCCACTAGGGGGCATGGAAGGAGAGTTATTTGTGCTAAAGGAAAAAAATGGTTTGGGGTGGGGGGAAGTCATTTCAAATGTTAGAAAATTACAGTGTGTTTTAAATATCCTGAAGGGAGGGTGTAGATTTAGGTACAGAAAATACAGAATTAGGTAACGGGAATCATTTGGAAACTGCCTTAGAAGAGGAGATAGCCTGTCATCCCGTGATGTTTTAAATGTCCTAGAAAGAAGACATGCCAGTGTTGCCTTTGAAGCTGAGTAGTTGCTTGACTTCAGCATGTCCTGACCAAAGCTGTGACTTGGGTGTGTTGCTTCTAGAGATAGAATTAACTGTAGGTTCTGCTATCCTGTCTTATGGATTTGTCAGCTGGTCTTGTTCACCATGAGACTACTGGTGGTTTTTTTAATCAGGAAAGGAAAAGTTCAACAAAACTGCTCTGTAGATAGGAATAGGCTTATATATTCGCATATATGTACATATACATAGATTTTTTTCCCCAATACTTTGAGGTTATTTTAATCCAAATGTTTTATCTCAGGTATGAAGAAAATTGTGGAGTGAATGGTTTTTATTCGTGAAAATTTATAGTTGACAGTATATAAAAGATTAAGTATTAAGGAACATAATCCTCTTTTCACTCAGTTTTTTTCCGTCTATTTTAGTGAATCTGATGGAGGAGACTTTTTTTTTTTTTTTTTTTTTGCGGTATGCGGACTTCCCACTGTTGTGGCTTCTCCCGTTGCGGAGCACAGGCTCCGGATGCGCAGGCTCAGCGGCTATGGCTCCCGGGCCCAGTCGCTCTGCGGCATGTGGGATCTTCCCGGACCGGGGCACGAACCCGTGTCCCCTGCATCGGCAGGCGGACTCTCAACAACTGCGCCACCAGGGAAGCCCGGAGGAGACTTTTTTAAATGCAGATTTTTTTCTTAAAGAGAAAATTTGAAGAGAATGCTTTGAGTAGAGGATCCTTGTTTCCGCAGGAGTACCGCTTTCCCTGCAAAGGTGTGTTTCCCCAGCCGCATAGATTGCCCTCCATCCCCTCAGACTTGAACTCTATGGTGAACTCTGAGTTGCCTGCATGGCGGGCAAAGCCTGCAAGTAGTTCAGAGTCTCTTTTGCCATATATTCTCCAAGGAAGAATACTTTACTTTAGAATCATGCTCACTTCCTCTGTAGTCATCATAGAGAGGGCTCAACATTAAATCTTACAGAGTTGATGGTTCAGAAACTTAGAATGACTCACCTGTCCAGTCATATAGATCTATCAGGACTTTTGTAAAAGGCGCTAACAGAAATGTCAGTCCCATCCCTGAACGGGCAATAGCTGTAGAAAGAGCTAATCGTTTTTTGAAGTATTTGGTAGTGACCACAGCAGCGACTTGGTACAAGAAAGCAGAACCCAAACCTAAAAGAAAAACATAATAGCTTGGAATCACTTTCACATTAAGTGGCTTGGTACTGGACAAGATATTCTCCTGGACCTGAGATAATATAAGTAGGTCTTTTGAACTCATGGAGAGTAAAAGGGAAGGTTCCTGGTTCCATTTTTTTTTTTAAGTCTTAACTTTTACAATGGACTCACCAGGTAAAAATCCCATAGTCACACAAAGAAAGGGAATGCTTGTAGCCCAGCTGCTGATCAGATATCCACCAGTAACAAGGAAAGCCCCAAGAATGGAGGCAGTTTTCTCTCCAATTATGTCACAAGTAACAGCAACTAGGGGACCTTGGGAAAAGAAACAAATGCTAGTTAAATGTGCTCTGGCATCCCTTGTCTTCTGGTGTGCAGTTTAAATGGGCAACTGAAGGGAAATAAGAGGACTCCACATTTGTGTATCCTTCAAAAAGCTGTCTGTATTGAGTTTCTTAATATTCCCAGCCCCACACTATTTTGCTTTTAGGAAGAAGTTTTGTTGATTTTTGTTTGTTTTAAAGAAAAAATTGTAAATAAGCAGGTTTGGAAAGGAAGCTTGCTGAAAATGCATTATGAAACCTCTGCAAAAAAAGGTTGCCTCTAGTGACCTATGACTAGAACAAAGTTCAATTATTTATCTACACCATGTTCTAGCTCCAACTAGAACTAAAGGAAGAGGAATTGGTTCTGTCTTTTAGAGCTTTATGGTCAGAGCTTTATGGTCGACATTCCAGTTGAGAGACTGGCTCACTGGACCTATATTAAGACACTGTTGAAAGAAACAAGGCATGAAAATTGAATCATGGAATTAAATAGTTGGATTCTTCACCTTTCTTTGTTTAAGCACTAATTTGTCTAGTTTTTCCAAGTCAAGCGGAGGCTAAACACTGCAAGTCCTTTTCTCAGCTTTACATGTTGATAAATGAACCTGAGTTTTAGCAAAGCTTCAGTCTTGATTGACTGACAGGTGAGTCTTCTTGGAATTGCCCTTTGGTGGTCCTTTTCCTTGGACAGCAAGCTTATTGATGGCTTTATACCTGCAGAAAAACGAAGCGATGACATGATGGATCCAATCCAACCAGTTTGCTCTGAGGTGCCTTCAAACTCTTCTTGAAAAACCACAAAGAAAATTGCAAAAGTCTTGGTCATCCCCATCACGAATACATTTACCTAAATCAAAGCAGACCAAAGAGTCCAAGTCAGGTGGTGAGTAAGCCATTACAGGGGAGGTTGGAACTGCTGGAGGCTCTGATTCTCTGTGTAACCTGTATTTTACCAGTTTGTTTGCCAGTTCCTCTTTGTAACATTTTAAATTTTAGGGGCGGGTTGTCCACTTAGAGTGTCTAATCACTTTACATGAAGGCATCTCATTTAATTCTCATTACAAAGGCATGGAATAGGTGTGTCAATATTGTATTAGAAATTCAGAAAATTGAGATTTAGCTTAAAAGTTGCTCAAGTTGGGGATGCTGGAGCTAAGACTTGAACCCAGATAGACTGACTCTAGACCAACCACTATACCATCCTGTTACAGTAGCATCTGTTAAAAACAGCTAATTCCAGTTACCTTTGTGAGAGATGTGTGTTGATCCAAAAGAATTGTTCTGTCAGTCCTTAGGTTAGCTTTGCTTTAACTCTGCTTTTGAGCTGAGTACCCTCCCTCACCTGGTATATAAATACGGCAACCATAATAATTTATCACCCAGTTGAAGCTCTTTGAGAGTGAAAAGTAGTGCTATTAATTGATGCCTGGACAGCAAGGGTAATGAGGATGTATGGTCACCTTACGGTTGGGTCATGTGCCCCCACCCTTTTTTTCTGTCCCATCTAACCCTTTTGCCCGCACCACCCTCATTCCTTCCACTAGGCGGAGCTCCTCTTTTGAGGTCAGGTTTTCTTTCAGTGGAGTACCAGCATTTGTTTCTTGGAATTCTGATTAGAAGGGGGGCAGTGAGGAGCAAGGGTCTGAGGGGAACTAGAAGGGAGGCCTAGCCAGGCTCTGCAGTCAGTCAAAGCCCAGGAGCCACATGTACTCACTCTTGTCTCCAGGGACTTCTTAGTGGCCCCTTTCCTTTCCTTTCCTTTTTTTCAGTGGCCTTGGTGTTTCAAGGACACTTTCTCTGCTGTCAAGCTGGCTATGCATTGTGGAAGGACCACAGATCCTGGGTTCCTTTTCACTGATTCTTTCTCTGTTCACCTGGTAAATATTTTCCCCTGTGGTTCTGCAGTCATCTCACTTTATACCTGCCCCATAGACAACCATTCAGTCTCAAGGTTTTAATTACCACCCTTGAACTCATGGTGTAGCTGTGAATACTGTGTTCCATCTGCAGTCAGCCTGCCTCGGCCAGAATCCTGGCTCTGCTTCCTATTAGGGGTGTGACCTTGGGCAAACTACGGAAGTTAAGCTTCCTCTTTTATAAAGTAGAGGAAAAGTAAATGTCACCTAGCTCATAGTACTGTGAAGACTGAGAAAATTCTGGTAAAGTAATACTTAGCACTTAATACTCAAACTATTAACTATGTTTTTGTTATCTTGTGTAACCATTCTGCTCTCCCAAGAGCTTGAGACTCATATTAATGTCTACCATGTCTTTCTAACTCAGGTTAACTTATCCAAAACTAAACTCATCTTTCTCTTATCCCATGCCTACTCTTCCTTTTCATTTCTCTTGATTAGTACCATCCACCCACTCACCCAAATCAGAGACCTACCTCCACTTAGGAACCTCCTTCCCTCAGCCTCTAACTACTGAATAAAATAACCAAGGCCTTCCCCTCCATCCTCTCTGCTAGACTCTTAATTCAGACAAGTATTATTTCTTGTTTGGAATAATGGACTAGGAATCAGTGGTGGTGCTCCAAGGTTGCAAAAGATGGGGTGGTGAGGAGGAAGTCCCTTAATGTACTTTTTCCCATTCTGATTTGATAGAAGCTACAAGACTTTGCTTATTTAGAGTGAACAATGCTATGGACACCAGGGCTATATATTCAAAAATGGAAAAAGCATTTTATCAAGCACTTTGTAATCATAACGTGCCTTAAAGGCACCCCTATCAGGAAATGAGGCTAGAGAATATACATGAACCTTAAATGACCCAGACTTGTTTCTTTCAGTTTAAAATACAGGGCGGTGATTGCCTCCTCTCATGAGCAGGGAATGTGACAATGAGGCATCATTCTGTAAAATTACCCTTCCTCTTTTTCTGTGGACATGGGTTCTGTGCTGGCATCTACACGATGCTGGCCTCTATGTTCTTAGCCATCTGAGTTTGGCTAGCTACTGGTCCCCCCAATTTAGCACCTTTCCTCTCTGGTCTTTCCTTGGTGTCTGGGCATAGCAGCTGTAAGTGGATATGACTTGTCTCTAATAACTGGGTCTGTGCCTTCCACTGTGTATATCAAGAAGGCCAAGGACATAGCCTTTTTAGCCACCCTGCCTCCCTCCCTTAACTTGTAACCTTCCAACTTTGTTTCTGTTTTGACTCAGAGCTATTAAAAATCTTTTCCCCAAGGTCCAGATATTCCCTTAGTTAACTAAGCAGACTAGATAAATCTATATTATACTATTTCATCTCGTGTTTTGGACCAAGGTTGATGGGTTTCAGTCCTGTTCCAGAGTCCACATCAGACACTGTACATGGGCTTACCCCGTCATCCATCCATCCATCCTCCCATCTGTCAACAGGTATATATTGAGTGCCTACTGTGTTCCAGGCTATTTACTAGGGCTTACAGTGGTGAGCAAACAGACTTGGCCCCTGTGCTCATGGAACATTCAGTCCTGGGACACAGGCTGAATACAGAAAACAATCATGCAAATATGTAGTTATAAAGTATGGTAAGTTAGAATGTGAGTCATTTTTTTTTAAAAAAGTAGGGAGCTCCTGAAGAACATGTTGTTATTGGGTTTTTCACTCATCTTTTCAGGAGCTCATCTGTTATTGAAAAGTAGACTTGTAACTTATGCAGACACAAAAGCATCGTCATCTTAAGTACCCACATTACCACTGTGGGTGATTGGCCTGAGTTAACTGTTAACATTTTGAGGACCCAAAATGTTTTTTTTGTGTGTGTGCTTTTATAAGTAGCATCACACCCAAAAAAGTGGGACATTGTTTATTAATCTGGTTGTTAGACAACTTTTCTTACCAGCAACTAAATTGATCAAGTAACTTCCTATCCTCAGAGGATAATACAGGAAAAGGAAAGGTGGTTACTGGGGAGAAAGGTGGGAGAATTAGAGATCCTCACCAACAATGCCAGTTCTGCAAAGCCTGTGATGTGGGGAGGTGGCCCAGTCACAGGAAGGCTCTCAGACCTAGGGTGTCCTTAGTTTCCTTTTTAGTAACACTTCTGGGAGGAAAAAAAAAGAGATTCCACATTCTTTGGTAATGAAGCTAATGTTTAACAAATAGTCCTGTGGTTCGGAGTTTTGTATTATGTATATCCTGGCTGAGGACTTCTTGCCCTCCTTTCCCTTTCTCTGTCATAAGGGAGGGGGTGTGGTATTTCTACACTGTGGGCTTCAGGGTAGTTAGTAGTCACCAGGACCTGCACTCCCTTCCCTGGGAGCTTCTTACTGTAGGGCTGGGCTGGGGAGGAGGATCAGGAGGGAAGGGTGTCTTTGTGAATACATCTCAAAGTTAACTTACTTGGGAACACTTAAGAGGAATGGGGGAGCTGTTGCCATTCTCAGGGTGGTTTGGGATATAACTGTGATGGGATTCACCAGTCCCATCAGAATGAGCATGCTGAGTCACATCACCACTGCATCACATAACGACCCCAAGAGCTTCTGGGAGGATGAAGGAAAGAAGTTAATTAAAAAACAGAGTGCGGAGTCCAGCTGCTTATGGATGAAGGAGAAAAATCAGGCTCCAGTTTCAGAATCCACATCATTCTCTCCCTTTCCAGACATGTCAGAAATATACATTGGGCCTAACTCTAGCATAAGTTATGGTTGGCGGGGATGGGTTGGGAAGTGGACAGCAGGCAGAACAGAAGAAAAGTCCCTGCCCCCTTGGAGAGACGGAGGTTGCTTCCAGCAGGGTTACGTCTATGCTGGGCTGAGCTGGGGAACCCCCTCCCCACGCACCCCTGCAAAAGCACTTTTTAGTGGTTTCCAGTGCTACTTCTGGGATGGTTAAATGTACGATTGTCCCCAAATCCTAATTGCCATATGCAGCGAGGGCAGAGCTGCTGATAGTAACTGGAGCACTCTGTAGGTTTAAGGAGGGGTAGGAGACAGGATGGAATGCTTCTGCTTTCACTCAAGGAGGACATTTTCCACTTTCTCTTGGGTTCATTGGCAGTTCCTGGCCTTGCTCTAACCCCCTTTCCATTCAAATGTCAAGGATTTCATAAGTGATCTTAGTTTGCTCTGAGCCTTTCTCAGGGAGCCTTCTTTCAGGCAGTAGCAAAGGGGAAAGTAAATTCTTACCAGGAAGAAATGAAACACAACCATCCATCCCCAACCTCCATCCAGGGTTTTCGTGTAGGGTCGGACCTTCCCCTCCCTCTTCAGCATGATGCTTCGTTTGTTTTAAATGCAGAAGATTCCTGTGACGAATCCAAGACAGAGTTGACTCAGTTGACAAAATGATCTTAACTTTTATTTCCTCTGTGGCATAAAACCACTTGTACTGTAATTTTTTTTCAGCCCACCTCTGAAACTAGATGATTTCTCCTCATTTCTAAAGTTTACAGACTCTCTGGAGTTTATAGACTCTCTGATCTCAACCTCAAAAATACAAGCAGGGCTTTGTACCATTTGGGGGATGTTTGTGGAGGTCTGCTGCCTGGCTTCCCCTGGAAGTCCACAGGGAGCTGACAGTTCTCTTGGAGTATGTCCTTAGTTACATATAAAGTCTACCCCACTAGACTGTCCCCTTATCCTCGTTTATTCCATAATCATGATCCAGGCAGAACCATGGGAGAAATGAGAAAAAGAAAACAAAAGGCTGTGATGTGAGGGACATCAAAGCCACCACATAAATCTCTCTTCCACCAGTTTGAACGGCCTCTGAAAGATGACCACTCAGTTCACTTCAGGCAGGAATAGCAAAGGAGTTGATCGCAAAGCCTGACCTCACTGATTGTGGAGTGGCCATTCCTTGCACTATTCTCCCCCCAGGTCTGCAAACCAAATCCTAGGGCAAACTGTGCACCATCCTCTGGGTAAGCTCTTGACTTTAGAGAAATAAAAAAGGGATGGGGAACTTCAGGTTTGGAAATTCCCTTTCACAGCACTTGCTAAAATGAAAATATTCTAATGGACTAAATAGACATGACAACAACATGTTCCTCGAATGGATCCCAGGCCAGAAAAAAGTTGGAAAGGACTTTAGGAGCTGCGTTGGGGAAATTGGAATGAGGACTGTATAGCAGACCAGGTTAGATCTCTTAGGGATGATGGTGGTCTTGTGGTTCTGCCGAAGAATGCGCTTGTTCTTAGGAGGCGTGTGCTAAGAAGCTCAGGAGTGAAGTGTCATAGAGTCTGCTACCTTCTCACAAGTGGTTCAGTAAAATAAATATATAGAGAGAGGAAAAGCAAAGAGAAAATGTAGATACTCTGAGAGAGAGGGCAGTATTCTTTATTTGCCACCGGCAGGTAGGCAGGCAGGCTCTTTCTTCCTGGGAAGGAGAATCTGCCGGCACGGCGTGTGGTATGGCCGTCTGTCTGGTGAGCAGGCCACGCAGGGAGAGATGCCGGTTGTTCAAAACACTATAGAGGACCAACCCCAACACACAGTCCCATTTTCATCCTACCTTTGATGTGGTGTGTAGCAAGGGAATCCTCCACAGACTTGAGACAATCTGGGAAGAAAAAGAAACTATACAATTTTCCAGAATGTTGCTCTTTTTCTAAGGCGTTTCATTCTTCTGCCCTGTGAAAACAAGCAAGCATTGTGAGAGCCCAGGGTTAGAGCCAATTTAGGCACTCCTGCCAGTGGACTTTACTTCCTGAGGGGAGGAGGAAAGACTGTAATTTGACATCGTCCTAGGCCCTCCCTCCACCCAAAAGCAAGCATCAGAGTAAACCAAGTAGAAAATCCTTTGGGTAACTGTTGCTGATTAAACCTGGAGGCTGTCGCACTAAGGTGGCTCTAATGCCAAGTTGGCCTATGTTAGCAAACCAAAATCAAAACAGGGTTATGAAATGGAAACCTAAGGATGACCAGTCACAAACAGCCAGTCAGGAATTAAGCTGTGGCCCATTAATGACTTCCTTGCTTCGCTTCTGCCCTCTCTATAAAAGCCTCTCCCTGAGCTCCCGTTGGTGGAGCGCTCCTAACATCTTCCAGTTTGACACTGCCCGGTTTGAATCCATTTTTGTTCAAACAAACTCTTAAAATTTTTAATATGCCTCAGTTTGTCTTTTAACAGTTCTGGTGTCAGAAGAGGGAACAAAGGAAGGAGACCCCGAGCAGCCAGAGATAGGTATCTGCTGAGCCCCTTGGCTTGCTGGTTTCTAGCTGCCTCTGGAGGTGTGGGTAGGTCCCTCTCCCACCCCAGCTCCACAAGCTTTTGCAGTATGAACTGTCAGACTTTAGTTGCGCCTTTCTTCTTCCAGACTGGGTCCAGAAACTGGTTGGAGTCAGCCTGGGTCCGGGGTCAGACTGGGTTGGACTTAAACTGGGCTGGTCCTGTGTGAGGTCTCAGGTGAATGAAATTTTGTTTTCAGGGTGAACAAGTAGGCTATCCTTACCAAAGACAACCTTGTACTACAGCAGCCACAGTTTATCCACTTATGAGGTGCCCTAGAGAAAAAGGGACCCCAGCCAACCCTTACAATAAGGGTGGAGGGAAAATTATTCTTCCTCCTCTACAGTTTCTGGTGACCAGGATGACACCTGCTGGGACACTCCACTTGCTTTAGAGCCTGCTGATGGGATCCCGGGAAAGCTGGCAGAAGCCCATAAAGGGTGAGAATTCTTACCAAAGGCAGTTCTCCTGGACCTCCACCTGTGGTGCCTGGTTGAGAGAGGAAGGTACAATTTCACAGTGTTCCTTCCATTCTAGATTCAGATTGGCAGGAGAAAAGTGTTTGTAAGAATTAGATCTTTGGGGGCTTCCCTGGTGGCATAGTGGTTAAGAATCTGCCTGCCAATGCAGGGGACATGGGTTCGATCCCCGGTCCAGGAAGATCCCACATACCGCGGAGCAACCAAGCCCGTGTGCCACAACTACTGAGCCTGTGCTCTAGAGCCCTCGAGCCACAGCTACTGAGCCCATGTGCCTAGAACCCATGCTCCGCAACAAGAGAAGCCACCACAATGAGAAGCCCGCGCACCGCAATGAAGAGTAGTCCCCACTCACCGCAACTAGAGAAAGCCCGCGTGTAGCAATGAAGACCCAATGAAGCCAAAAATAAATAAATAAAATTTATTTAAAAAAAAAAAGAATTAGATCTTTGAATGGTGGCTTGTGAACTTTCATTTAAGTCCCCACTGGTTCTTGGTCTTTTTACTCCCAGGGACAGCTATAGCTTTCTCATTTATCTTGTTATGTCCTGAGAACTTGGCTTGGCTTTCTGCCCATCAGGGCACACAGGTTGGCAGTTCTTATGTGTGCAGGCAGCTCAGCTGTCACATTGGGGACCCCCAAAATATGGCTGGACAGAAATGTGGGTCACCAGCTACCAGGGGAATTGTCTTTCTTTTTTTTTCTTTTTTTTTTTTTTTTTGCGGTACACGGGCCTCTCACTGCTGTGGCCTCTCCCGTTGTGGAGCACAGGCTCCGGATGCGCAGGCCCAGCGGCCATGGCTCATGGGCCTAGCTGCTCCGCGGCATGTGGAATCTTCCCGGACTGGGGCACGAACCCGTGTCCCCTGCATCGGCAGGCGGACTCTCAACCACTGCGCCACCAGGGAAGCCCTAAGTCTGTCTTTCTTTGATTATCTTTGGGAATGGCTCTGGATCTTGGGGCTGGGGGAGTAATATCTTTCGTACTTTCTTTGGGGATGCCTCTTGCATCCATGGTTAAACTATGGTTTTGTTTTTGAGTCATTTGTTAGGGATACCTTTGGTTTAAAAGTAAAAGAAAAGTTTGTTTAGTATTGCCAGGAATAGTTACTGTTTGTCCCACCTAAAACGTGTTAATAAAGTATTTAAAAGGATTTTTTTAGTGATCTTTCTGGTTAGAAGTTGGCCACTCTGGGGAGTTCCTTGATGGCCTAGTGGTTAGGATTTGGTGCTTTCACTGTGGAGGCCAGGGCTTGATCCCTGGTCGGGGAACCATCCCACATGCCATCCCGCTTGCTGCGTAGCGCGGCCAAAATGCAAAAAAAAAAAAAAAAAGTTGGTTACTTTGGAAGCTGATATTCAGAGTCTGATAGGAACTGTTTTTAAGGGCTTCTCCACGAAGCTGAAATGAAATTATGTACCCAGAGGGAAAGAAAAACATTCTGAGGCCACTGTGGAAGAATTTACTAAAACATTCAAAAGATGCACAGCTCCAAATCTGGAACGTAGGAATCTTTTAATTTTCATCTTAGTTGGAAATCTCCCTGACATAAAGAAGCAAATTGAAGATAATATAGTTGGATGGGTGGGTTCACTGGGCCTCAGGTGGCAACCCAGTTCTTTGAGGAATAAAGAACAACTACTTGTCTTACAAATCGAGTTTTGACAGGAACAGAAATGCAGCTCTAGAAACAATGAAAAGTCTATCCTTTTTACCAATCTCAAAACCTCCCCTATTCAGCTCAGAAGGCTTACAGATATTATAAAACATCTGGATTTAGGGAATAAGAGTCCTTCTTGGTGGAACTTACATCCTTTTTCTGTGCCTTTGAGCTTTGAGATGTAAGCGTTCTGCATTTCAAGTATTTAGAGCCATTTCTTTGAAATGTGGACTTCAGGGAGGTGATTCTTATTAGAAGGACAAAAACAAAAGTATGTGGGGGGCGATTTGGAAACTAGGTGAAAGTTCTACTGAGTTAAATTATGGATATTCATTGATTAGATCATTTCCAAGTAAGATAAAATACTGAAACATTAATTACTGAACACAAATTTATCTACTTTTGGCATTTTATCTACTTTGGCTTCTTATTACAGAGGAACTAAAGATATTTGGGTTTATTGGTAAACGTGTTTTATGCCATATCGAAAAATTTACTGTGAGGGAGAATATACTTCTGGAAATTATGAAATGTATTTATAAATGTGCCAATCCACAGAATGCTAGTGTAACAGTCCACAGTTGCTTGCTTCTTAGTTTTCACTAGGAAGTAAGTATTCTAAGGGTTATGAATTCTAATCGTTATATGTAATTTAAAACTACTAAAATATAGGGGTGAAAGGAAACAACTGTGTGAAAAGTAGGAAGGAAAGTAGAATGTGTCTAGGGGGTAAGGAAAGGTATGGAAGGACTTTATTAAAAGACTTTTTGTCATTTGTAGAGAGTTATTGTTTTACTCTGATGCTTTCACAGAAATGCTTCTTTGTCTTTAGAGATTCATGGAAAGATCTAGAATACAGGTTTCTGATAAGTTTAAGAGCATAAAAGTGAACTGGGTAAGAATTTTCAGAGCTAATGAAAAAACTGGGTTCATCCTGAACAAGAATTAATAACATATGATTAAATGAACTGATGAGGATGATTATAATGTTTTTTACAACTTTTTCTTTGAAACACTGCTGATTCCTTAATGTTTTGTTTTCCAAATTTAAGGAAACCTTTCTGTCTTAAGGCAGTTTGGTAAATTATACCTTTGTAAACAAAAGTGAAACGTTTTTTTCCCTACCTGATCCCTCCAGAATTTGGAAATTTGTTGTGTAGTCTTATTTTCATGGCAATATAGTGATTTATATAAGCCCAATAAGAATATGTTCTTATAACAGGACACAATTGGAAGCCTTGGTTATATTACCAAGGCTTTGACTAGAATGTCATATTTGAGAATATGCATAAAATCAGATATGACCGGACAGTTTTAAGGAACTAAGGCTGACTTTATGGAGGCAATAAAGCTCCTAAGAAAAACTGGCCTGGCATCTTGTTTATAGGGTTCCAAGAAACCTTACCAGGTGAGTAAGGAAGGTCACTTCCTGGCAGGCCCGAGAACCTCAGGATATCTTAGGGACCTTGAGAAGAGAGGAATTCACCCAAATCTATAGGTATTCCAGATGAAGTCTGAAATGACAAATCCTTGACTTGACTGCTTAATCTGGAGAGCCTTTAAAAGTTCAATCTAAGATTCCT